TTTCTTGCATACCAAATTCTTGTATAATCTCTTTTAAAACCACGTATATGCTAGTGGCATTTTGCGGATGTTCACTAATCTAAATGCAATAATCCTTTTATATAAAATCCAAAGGTAATCAATATAATGAGCTGTAGCAGCAATATAACCTTTTTGTTACCATCGATCCATAAATTAGAGGTAAATGATACAACACTATAAAAAAAAATTTAGACTTTAACTAACAACTTTTTTTCTTTTATTATATAATTTTATAGCATCTGCACGAAGAGTATTCTACAACAAGAGATATACTTGGGTTGGAGATATTCCTGCACAAGTCGGGTGAAGAGAATAGAGTTCATTAATGTAAGCGGTATCTCAGTTGCAACCATTCCTTTGTGAAATCTTTCTTGTAAATATACGAAAGTGGAAACAGTAGAGCCAAAATCGACAAACATGAGTTTGGTCTGTTTTGGGTTAAGATAGACTTGTTTTACTTTGCAAGTTCTTATTATGTATCTAATCGAATGAGAAATACTTGAACCAGGCTTCCAACTTAATTCTTTACCATAGTAACTGCAATATGCTTTCCAAATATCCACTCCATTTTTAACATGAATTTTTTTCATATCATATATTGCCAACAATCAGATGATTCTTTCTTTGACCTTTTTAACTTCGTGTACTTCTTTCTCTTGGATATCTTCCAAGTCAATTGGAACAATTTTAATGCATCGTAATAGGATGAAGTACTCGAATTACCCTTAAATTAGTTAATCCTATCATTAGTAAATTCCATTCATGTTTATGAAATTTAGAATAATTAAAATTGAAAAATTATAGCAAAAGAAAATGAATATTGAAGCAAAGAAATTGATGACTAGTATTGAAAAAAAAATATTATAAATTAAATAAGTTGATATCAAATCCAAAATTTTACCTTTCTATTTATAGCAAAAAATTGGCCCGTTTTACAAAACTTGATATTCAAAGATAGCTAGATGCAATTGTCTGCTTACCTGATGTGCCAGTAGGACACAACTATCTCTTATAGGTAGCTACATGCATTGCTGCTTGCGTGTAAGATGTAAAAGGCAACTATAATAGCTATTTGTAGAATCACAAGGTAGCACGTGTCATGGGCCATTTTTGGCCTATCATACGAGCCGGCCCGTGTGGCTCGAGGCTTGGGTCATTGCCCAAAAATGAGGATTGGTTCAAGCCTTATCTCGATTAACACGAGCCATGAGTCAAGTCAGCTTGGATGTTTTCCTGATCAAGTTGCAGGCTACCCAAGCTAACGAGCAGGATTGACATCCCTAGATCTATTGGATGTGTTTTCTATGCTGTATGTGAATAGGTATATGTTAATGATTAGTTATGTATAAATTGTTACTACTATTTGAGACTAGCTCTGTGTAGTTATTATTTGTGGTCAAGTTTGTTTTAATAGTAACTATTTTATAACCAAGTCTGTTTAAGTTGTTGCTATCTATGACTAGGTGCGTAAGTTGTTATTTATGATTAGGTCTTTGTTAATGATGACTAGATATTATAAAATCTTTCTTAACCATGACCGTATGTGAGCAGATCTTTGTTGATTATGATTGTTTGTGACCTAATCTGTTAACAAAGACTTTTTGTGACTGTTATGTATCATTTGTAACTCTTTGTGACCAGGTCTGTGCTAGCTATGATCAAGTGTATGTTGATTGTGACTGAAATTGACCTGTAATGCGTTGAATGTTACATGCTATTGTCTGACTCTAATTTTATTTTGTCACACATCAAATACTAATAGCAATATATGCTTGAAGAGATAATGAACAAAATTAAATTACAATCATCTCATTCTAATTTTTCAAAAGAAAATTTCTTGAACTCTTGCAACTTGTGTTGGATAAGATAGCCTTCATACCAATTATGCCTCTAAATCTGAAAATTAGTGATACAACTTATTACATTGTAAAAATAATGTAAAGTAAACAATTAAAAACTCTAACTAGTGACCGAAGATATTAGCATACAAAATTTAACCTTACTATCTATGGTATTTACTCCATTATAACTTTAGCAAACGGCCATGCAATTATGGTATCTTCACATTCTTCAATATAAGTCATATCAAAAGTAAGCCTCTACAAGAATGCATTAGATTTCATTGCTAGATCAACCCAATGTCTCATAGTATTATGTCTTAGAGGGATGTAATAAACCAATATTTTTGGATCATTTGATGACCAAAACATTTTTCTACCACATTTTCTCCTATTCCAGTTCAATCTAATACCTTATACTTCTTTTTGTGTTTACACTCTTCAACAACTCAATTTTAGGAAGCAAGTTATAGTCAATTTTAAAAGTGTATATATATAGGGTAATTAGCACAAAAGGTCCATACCTTTCATTTTTTTAGTATTTTCGTCCTTATTTTAACGTTTCATTACAGACAACGTCATTTTCACCATTTTTAATGTAAAATGATCAAAATACCCTGTCATTTAAATAAAACCAAAAAAAGAAAAGAAAAATAAAGAATAAATTACAATCTTACTCTTAAAATTTTAAAAAGTGTAAGTGAGTCCAAATAATTATTAAAAGGACTAATAGCACAAAATGTCCCTACATTTGGTCTATAATGTGCAGAACGTCCATACGTATTAAATTAGTGAAAATGATATTTTCCACAATGAAATGTAGAAATAGGGATAAAAATGCAAAAAATTGAAACGTATTGACATTTTTCGCAAGAATTGTCAAATGTAGGGATTTTTTTGTTATTAGGCCTTATTAAAATATTAAAAATAACAAAAAAAACTCTCTCTCTCTCTCTCTCATTTTCTTCTCCAAATGGTTCAGCCATTTTAGAAGCCAAAAAACTCCAGCAAACCACTACCCAAACTACTAGACCACCATACCACAGAAAAGTCCTCACTTCCTTTTATACATACCACCCAACGTCCAACCTTGAAACCTTCATGTCAATAGATTTGTTCGAAATTGCAAGCTAAAATACACAACTCGCGAATGCATATACTGGCGGCATTACATATTCCTGAGAGACCCATGCCATTTCAACACACCAATCAACTATACTCACGAGGGCACCTCTCTTCATGGTCTTAAAATATCAACAGATGGTTCAGTGGTTTGGATGTTCGACGGTTTGGACGATGGTTGGTCGGAGTTTTTCCACTTCTAATGGGTAGTCCCATTTGGAGAAAAATTGGGGGGGGGGGGGGGGGGGGGGGAGCGAAGAGGGAAAAAGGGGGGGGGGGGGGGGGGGGGGGGGGAGAGAGAGAGAGAGAGAGAGGGAGAGAGATTTTTTATTATTTTTAATATTTTAATAAGGCCTAATAGCAAAAAAATCCCTATGTTTAACGCTTCTTGCGTAAAATATCCACATGTTTCAATTTTTTTCTGTTTTCATTCCTATTTTCATGTTTCGTTGTGGAAAACGTCATTTTCACCAATTCAAAATATAGAGACATTTTCACACTATAGGCCAAACGTAGGGACGCTTTGTGTCTATTAGGCCTTTTAATAATTATTTGGACTCACTTGCACTTTTTAAAACATTTAGGAGTAAGATTGTAATTTTTTCTTTATTTTTCTTTTCTTTTTTTGGTTTTATTTAAATCGAGTGTATTTTGGTCATTTTTACATTAAAAAATGGGAAAAATAACGTTTGCAATGAAACATTGAAATAAGGGCGAAAATGCCAAAAAATGAAAATTTCAAAAAATGAAATTGACAAAATTTACCGATGAAGATGATAGCAGTATATTAGATAATTTTTTACTCTACTTTCCTTGAGACTATAAAGATAAAAATTTCAAAAAATACTTATTGAATTGTGTGAAGTACAAACATATATAAGTTATATTTCATTTAGAGGAACTTACTAACTTGTTTTTTCAATAAGTTATTGATTGTCCTCTTGAACCTTCAAATGATTTGTTCCTCTTTTAAATGAGATATACTAGACTTACTTTGAGTTCATATGAAATATTTTGTCTAGAAAACTCTACCTCCAATCCCTCGTAATCGCCCACGATTCTCTGGGCCAAGTACTTTCAAAAGAACATCTTCTTTTATATTAATTTTAAATCTCATTAAAATAGAGCCCCAACAAGGACTCTATATATATATATATATATATATATATATATATATATATATAGAACTAAAAAAATAAATTAAGTATATACTTACAAGCATCTCTGCAACAAGTTTTTATAAAGGTTAACCTTGATGTCCAACTTATTTAAGAAAATATGAAAACCATTATTAGCATTCTACTTGAAAATTTTAGAAAAATGACATAAATAAATAAACAAGACTCACCATTTGTAGGTTGACAAAAGAATACAAAATAAATAAAAGATTAATTTTAAAATAAGAAAGCTGAACTAGAAAACACAAACAAAATTGTCAATAAAGCAATAAACATATGCTAACCTAGAACCAGGGGCAAACAAAGGGAGGTCCACGTGATCTCATTTTAATCTATACCAAATTTAATAATTAATTTTAATAATGCATTTCATGAGACCCAAAACTTTTCAACTTATATCAAAATCTACTAAAAATTTAAATTAGTCCCCACCAAACAAGGGGTAATTACAATAAATTTTTTTCTTTACTCTTGGAAGCTCACAGACACATCTAAAAATGTTCAAAACCGATGTTATTTGAAGATTCTCCAACAAGATTTAACTTCTTTTTGTGAAAACAGCCTCTATAATCAATTGCCTAAAGCTGTTCCAACTAATTTACAAAGAAATTGTTGAAAAAGTCTTAGTATATTATAAACTTGACACCATGCACTTGCAGTATAGTTTACACATAAAAATGGACAAACTTGGAAAAAGAAGAGTTCAAATATGCACGAAAAATTTAATTTTAAGGTGGAAGATGGAAAATTCTATCGTATATTTGCATGTGTCTTGTATATGAAACTAAAAATCATATTTATAGGTTGTTAAACAACTCTTCTCAAGAATTATAATCCTTCATAAGAATCACAACTTTATGTATTATAAGGTAAATAAGAAAATTGGGATGAATATACAACAAAAAAACTGGAAGAACAGGTGCCAAAGAACTTTTTTCTAAGGAGAGTCAGGGACATCTCTCACATTCTGTACATGTAGCAAGCCCATTCACACAATCCATCAAAAGCACAGAAAGCCAAAATAATTATCACAAGTGGTAAACCAATTTGCACAAGTCAAAACTACAATGGGGGATGCTATATGGACAGAGGCTGCCAATAGGGGGCTGCCACGTCGGCCTGTGTTTGGACAGAGGCCTGTCCAAGGAGTTTTATCCAAGTATGATTGCAAAAGGTGTCCTTTGCTTTACTCTGTTATCTCATAATAGAGTAATCAGCTCATAAATAGCCTAATAAAGCCTTTCGTTCCTTTCCATGGAAAATATTCCTGATCCATAAGTAGAATGCATAACATCAGCCAACAAAGGAAACTGTAAGAACGCAAATAGCGTAACTGGAACACAAGCAGTGAGAGCAATCGGGATAATAACCCAAGCCAGTTGATGTCCAACCACAATGAAAAAGCTTGCACTAAAAGCTAGAAGCATTGATGCTATAGAAAAGAAAAGTGTTGTTAGGCCAATAATCAGCCTCTTCGGCAAGGACTCCAGGAAATCTTCTTCAGCATAACGCGAGGTGAGGATAGATAAGAACATCAATATAGATGTCACAGAGGAGAACAGAGCAAGTGCATCTGATATGGAGAAAATTATAAATGACTTGTCCCTAAGGAACATAGGGGTTCCTGTATTATTGTTGTTGCCTCCTGGTACAGTAAAAATTGCAGCAAACATTACTGTAGTAATAAGTGTTGCAACAAGCATGCAGGATGATGCTGTATCCTTCATCCATTTCTCCCCACTCTCGACTAATCCCTTGTGTTCCTGAGTAAATAGCATTTGGGGTGTTCTACCTTCTGAGTCTTTCATTTCCTTGTATAATGGCTGCATATTCTTCTCAACTTCCTTTGAATGTTAAAAAGAAGAAGAGTCAAGAAGCTATTTTAATTAATTCAAACAGGCAAGAATAAAGTTCGTACACAATTTGATAGTCACCTTAAACCACAGCAACTCCCGTTGCATTTGAAGTGCTGCACCAGAGACAATTTTAAGTCTATTTGAAGGAGCCAAGTTTGCAGCCAAGTGTAAAATGTTACAATTGTTGGGGTTCTTAGAGGATGTGATCAAATCTTTGTGCGCACCTATGTCATAAAGAAGTTTGAAGATTTTTTCTTGGCGATGAATAACTGCAATGTGAAAAATGCTTCGACTTTGCTCATCAACTTTCCAAATGAGATCAGGATAGGAGAGAATAAGCTCCCTGATGAACTGAAAGTTTCCAAATTCTGCAGCTATGAATAATGGTCGTGAAGGGCTCCTGAATAACCTCTCAATTTCTGAATCATCCAATAAGAAGAGAACCTGTTTCCACAAGAATTTTACAAACTCCAGGGCTTGAGATTGCATCAGCATTTTCTCAATAACTCCCTGGATTCCTAGAGTTATAAGGCAACAAAAGTCAACTCACTAAAATTATTGAACATGCTTATTATGGGACTTGTAATGCATTCCATACCTGTTAGGTGCATAGCATGATTGAGAAATCTGAAGTTGCTAGTACGACCAGTCTTGTTCAACAGTTTTGCAATCAGACCTACTTGATTCAATTAGGAGCACAAATGAGACTGCCTTTTCACTTTGCCATGCTTTGCTATATTGACATAGAGGTTACAATTTAAATAGAAATGAAAAATCTTACAGTGGTCTTGTTTACTTTTGCCTGAAAATGCTGAAGTCTTTCGAGCTAGAACATGAAGTGCTGTCTCGCCATTGGGCTCTCTTTCAATGGCTAGTTCTGGTTTGTGTTCAAGTATATGCAGAGCAACATCTGAAAAAAATTAAACAGTTTGCCTCATCTATGCTGTTTTTTCAAAATATTTATATATATGTTTGTGAATCGAATGCTATCTTACCATATAAATCAGAGCTAATAGTTGCAATTAGTAGCCCAACATAGTCCTCTTTGGAAAGAAATTGGTTATCCGTTACTGAATAAATATACCAGACCATGTCTCTATATCCCATTAAAGCAGCAATGTGTAGGGCTGTCACTCCATTGATACCTCTTATCATAGGCAAGTCACTGTTTTTTGCTACCATTAACTCTGCAATTTTTGTAATACCAGATGCAACAGCAAAGCAAAGTGCAGTATTTTCATACTTATTTTTAAGTGCCAAATCCAATGAATTCATCATTTTGACCAATTCTTGTACAAATATTATCTGTTTTGCGCCTGCTGCAATATGCAGAACACTTTCCCCTCGGTTTGTGATCCTTGCAGTTATTGCTTGAGGATGTAGATAAAAAAATTCTTTTGCTTTTTCCCAATCACCCTTGAGTGCAGCATGGTATAGAGGAACATACATTGCAAGATTCCTGGCGGGATAAGTCCCCTCTAATGTTAATGAACCAGAGGCCAAAGTCAGAAAACCAATATAATTATGTTCGTTGAAGTATACAAAATGCCGGCAGCGACAGAGAAATCCAGTGGAAAATACATCATTTTCTATTCGACTATTGGCAATATAAGCATATCAAGTGGAGGAAAAAAAAAAGACAATAGTGTTTCCCTAAGCAAACGAAAATATTACATTGATAGGCCCATGAAACCCCTAATTTAGCTATAGAATCTTATGGTAAAAGGAGTTTACTTACCAACTCTCTCCGAAAATGAAATAAGATGTGTTTGTGTCCCAGCAGGAACGGACTGCATGGAAGTGTGATTTGGGATTTGACCATTGGAACAGTAGGTTGGCTGAACTTGAACAAGAGGGTAAGAAGTGATTCCAGTGTTGTTCAAGTCAGGTTCTTCAGCACCACCAGAGGCCGGGATGGAGTTTAGTTCCTGGAAGCAGGACTGAATAGAAAGAGTTCTCTGAAGTTGAAACTTGCTCGAGTTTTCCATTACTCGCAACCAGATCAACTACTACCTCAAGCTATGGAAATTAATAATAGCCAGAAATTAAGAAGTTAGAATGAATTTCTTCAATATGAAGTCAACTCCACCATTTCTAGAAACTTACCATTAGTTGAAACTTTTTTGAGCAAGAAAATGCTCAATCAGTGCAAGGAAAATTCCTGAAAGATGTGTGACATGAAGAAAATAATACTAACACTTTATAAAAAATAATTTCAACTCATAATCTTTGGAAAGGTAAAAGATGTATTCGACTCATTTGGTCACATCTAATCTTTGGAAAGATAAAGATGGCACATAAAGTGTGGTTAAATAAGCTATAAACTTTTTGACACCACTACTAACTCCAAGTATTAAAATTCCTTCTTCCTGAGTTCCTCCCATTCATGTGGACTAGGTCTGTTTTCTCAGTAGAATTTCAACTTCTACAGTTAAAATTTATTAGCTTCTTCAATCAATTTGTTTATTTCCAGACAGGCACTGACAGAGACAAGAAGCAATTTTTTTTTTTTTTTAAATCCACCATCCCAACAAGAGCAAGAAATATCAGGCAAATTGAATATGGTGGATTCAATTTGACTGTCATTTTGATTATATTTTATTTTGCCATTGGATTTACGTACTTCTAATGTGGTTATCCTTGCTTAAACTAACAATTATTTATTATTTATTTATTATTATTATTATTATTATTTTATTTATTTATTTATTTTTAATCTTTCCTCACTCCACCTTGCCCCGATCCGTTCCGCCCTGCCCTGCCAACCCATCGGGTGGAGTTTTTTGGCCCCATTTGAGACGAAATTTTTTGCCATCTCTACTCTCTAATGACTCAAATTTTCAAAACTCTGCAGCAATGAATAATTGTCATAAAGGGATCCCAATAACTAAATCACAGTCATTATGGTTTGCAACGTGATTGAGCACTCTGCAGCAATGAATAATTGTCATAAAGGGACATAAAACACACGTTGAAGGATAGAAAAATAACTTTGTCACCTTCATGCTGTTACTTTAGTAATTAATTACTAACCTAATAATTTACATTCTCTTAGAATGGGGTGGATGGGTCAACACTCCACCCACCCCACCCCCATGTGTAGAGCAATAGCAGGAAACTTCTGAGGAAGAAGAGTTGGAAATAAATATGTGAGTGGGAGAATTATATAACATTAATGTCGGTTTCAAGTGAAAAAATAATATGCCAAATGGACCGACTTTGCATTAAATGTGGTTGTTTATATGCAAGGTCTCACTTGGCCTTCTTCTGTGCCATAAATCTCGTATTTTTGTTTATGCAAGTATTTATTGTGCAGTATTAGATAGGATCGAGCTGTTTAATACGAAAAATGTTAATTTTTTCTTCAATATTATTTGTACAATCAATTCACTTACTAAACATATTATTTATAAATGTTGTACTCTTGTCTCGTGTACACTTTCAATTAGATAATATGACTATATGTTTGGTCCTCATTTTTGAAATTAATTTATTTTCAAATTCATTTTCAATCACGTTTAATGGGAATCATAATTTTTATTTACTTTCTAACCACGCATTTTATCAACTATTTTATCAAAATCTATTAAAATATAATATTTCGTTAAACTAAACAGGGGCTAAAGAGTAATGTCGTTAAACTACTACTATTTTTACTTGTTACACAACATTATAATCACACCACAATTAAAATCAATTTTAAAATGAAAACTTCACAACAAATTTTACAGTTAGAGACTTCTAACCCAATAAAAATAAAAAGTGATTTTTTTTTTCTTGACAGTATTATAATGTACTCTCCATCCCAGAATTACTCTTTATTTTTGTCATCTTCCCCCACCCATTCTTCATCACCAATTTTCCCTACCCACCCCTAGTTTAAACTAATAAAATTGGAAGGAAAAGTAGAATAATATTCACTTTTAATCACTCAAATTGATAATGGCAGAATGCCCGAATGAAGAGAATTCCCTGAACTTCCCCATAGAATTTCAGATCCATTTCCTAATTTGAATTTAGATTTTTTTAACAGAAAAGATGTGAAAAATAAATTTTCAAATCTACTTTGTTTTTGTTCTTCACTTATAAGTTTGACAAAAGAGTTTAGCATTCGTTGAGTAATTTGACCTAACTCTAAAAGAAGTTTCGTGACATGAATAAATTATTTTAAGACTCTAACTCCATCACATAACAAGTTTAACCTACAATTATTCTATAAATTGGGAGAAGAGGGGCAAGAGAGAGATTGAAAGCACAATATACTTAAAAATGTTTAACCAAAATCTTCTGTCACAGCAAATACTTAAAATGTTTAACCAGAAATTCTACGACCAAATTCTTCTTGTTTTTCTTTTTCTTTTGTTCAATCTTTGGGGATTTTGCTATATAAATCTTAGCATTTGTATCTTTGAAAAGAAGTTGAAAATTTTTTTGTGGTGTAATGATGATGGTGATGGAATGAATAAATAAATAATTGAACAATAAATAGGATACTCGTATCATTTAACTCGCGATTAATTAAATAAATAAGAAAATTGTGGAGCCCCTGATACTTATTGTGATGATAATATAAGTACCTTTGATGAATAAGAGATAACCTGATTGGAGATTTAAAAAAAAAAAAAAAAAAAAAAAAAATGGCCGATGCACATGCGTTGACGAACGGCGTCATGGGACGTTGATATGCACGCGTTGGACATGTTGTTAGCAACTATTTTATATTCAATTTAATCTTAATTTATTACAGTGCTTTGGTAGTTATCTAGAATATTTAGTTTTCTATGCTTGCGTGCAAGCAAATCGTGTGGCTTGGATTTGTCGACGCGGTTTTTAGATTGCAATTGAACAATAATACAGGTTGGAATGAAATGTCAATATGCATACATGTTTCCAAATAACAAAATTCTACGAATATTTCAAGCATCGACATCATATTTATTAAAAAAAGATATTTTACTTCGTTTTGCATGTGATATTTGACATTTTTACATAGTACGTATCAACAAATATTTTAAAAAGAAAATGAAGTTATATCATAATAGTGATCGATGATACCATAATAAATATAGAAATAACCATTTAGGAAATCTCATTAAGGCAAAAACTTTTAGCTGCCAAAATTATAAGCATCTTGAAATCAAGATATAGCAATATGATCTCGATATATTAAACTGAAGTTTGATTGAACTCTTAAAAATTGAATTCACGATGACGTTTAAATTTTTTTGAGAATTATAGATGTATAGCTTTTGTAACGGAGAAAATAAGAAAGTCTATAGAAATTAAATAGTTGTTGAAAAGAAAGTGACCTAGACTTGAAACCTCTTGATGGAATGGAAATTTTGACGAAGAAACAAAATATTAATTCTATAAATTGCGAGAAGAGGGGCAAGAGAGAGATTGAAAGCACAATGTACTTAAAAATGTTTAACCAAAATCTTCTGTCACAGCAAATACTTAAAATGTTTAACCAGAAATTCTACGACCAAATTCTTCTTGTTTTTCTTGTTCTTTTGTTCAATCTTTGGGGATTTTGCTATATAAATCTTAGCATTTGTATCTTTGAAAAGAAGTTGAAAATTTTTTTGTGGTGTAATGATGATGGTGATGGAATGAATAAATAAATAATTGAACAATAAATAGGATACTCGTATCATTTAACTCGCGATTAATTAAATAAATAAGAAAATTGTGGAGCCCCTGATACTTATTGTGATGATAATATAAGTACCTTTGATGAATAAGAGATAACCTGATTGGAGGACAAATTTAAGACTCAGGAATCAGTTTAGGTAGCCATGTCATTATTTGAAAATGAATCCTTAGAAAAATCTGGGATTTCCAAATCATTGGTCTAAGGTCACTGAAATTGGTGAGATAATTTCCAATGTGAGCATGTCTTAACCCAAGCCCATGTCAGGAGGTGCTAGTACAACCATAATTTTTCTGCATTCTACACTCATACCTAAAATATAAGTTATGTTCATCTGTCTCTCAGGGCATAGCTCAGTGGTGCAAAGCACAAGAGTGAGGTATTTTTAGCCTTGTTGGCATCCGATGCAAAGCACAAGAGTGAGGTATTTTTAGCCTTGTTGGCATCCGATGTGTGAGAATTTGATTCCTGATATATGAAATTGGACTTTTTGTGAGCATCAGTGTATAGATAAGCTCTTGTTCCATGGCCTATTGGGGCACATCCCGCGATTTATCTCCCTCATAATGCTCTAAGGGCAGAGCGGTGGGGGTCCTCAAGGTTGGGGTTCAACCTTCTTTTTATTATTTTTTTTATTTTTTATGTTCATCGATTTTAGATACATAGACGACAGTAAGGAACACACAAATATGTGTGTGTGCCATTCCTATGGTAGCTGATGTCCTATAGTGACGTTTCTTGAATGCTGATGCAGATTACAACAGATACAAAGATAAAGTCAACCGATTTTAACTGTTGGTGTATCTAAGATTCTCGCTTCAGCTGTTGATAATTCCAATAGAGTAACAATTTTGATGGAAATGAAAGATCTTAGAAGGGCGGAAACATTAATGCCAGATTACTACAAGAATTTTATGTTTTCCCTACAAAGAAAAATATTTGTATTTGCGGGGAAATATATATATATATATATATACACACATTTACAGATGAAAAACTTTGTAGGGAAAATGTTTATATTTGTGGGGAAAAAAAACATTTGCAGACGAAAAAAATTAGTAGGCATATTTGTGGGCAAACATCGAGGAGATAGGTAAAAAGACAACAAATTTTTAAATTTGTGGACTAAAGTTTTTCCCAACAAAGCCTTTGAAGACGAATACAATTCATCCCTTAAGTCTTTTCCCTACAAAATCATTTGACTTCTAAAGTTACTTTTGCCCACAAAAAGGTTTTACTTTTCCCTATAAATTATATTGTAGGCTAAATCATTTTTTTTCCTACAAAAAAATTATCATATTGAATGAACATTTGTGAGCTAAGATATGGATATTTTTCCAATTAAAAACTTGTAGTAACATGGTACATAGCATTTTGTGGGCTAAACCTTATTTTTCTCTATAAAAATATTTTCATGGAGAAAACATACTTGTAGGCTA